AAAATGCTCAAATGGAAGATGGGAAAAAAACTTCCCCAGCCTCATTTGGAACTACTGTTTTCCTAGAAGCTTCTCTTCATTCATTCTCTTCATTCAGCCCACGTCTTGCACAGACTTGGCTCATGCAGTTGTGATATGACTGACCCCTTTCTGTATGACTAGTGACAGAAGCAATCTTAGAGCAGAATGTCAGCTCTGTACTCCAACGCAGTGGCTGTTATAGAGCTTTAACCCATGAGTTTAGGTGAGATCTTTCGATGCATTATCTAACTAAAGACTGAACAAAACACATGGGTGATCTGGTGCTTTAGATGTCAATTATAAAGCACTCTACAATGGGAAGTTACTTACCAGTCAAGAAGCACTCCTCATGTGCAGCCATTGCAGTCACACTGCTGGGATGCATGCCTGACATCTGAGCCTCAGAAACTCGTCGAAGAGTCAATCCTGTTAGGTGCCACTGAAGCACCCTCTTGTGGCACTGAGCACTCAATGCCCAAGGCTGTGAAGGTGAGGTGTAGCTTGTAACAGCTTCTATTACAGGGCTGTGCAATTGCTGCACTCCTGAAGCTTGGGGCTTTTTCAGCTCTGCTTTTTTTTGGCCTTGTCATTTCTCTCAGATAGCTTAGGATTAGTTTCAAGTCATTCAGAAGATCTGAACTATTCTTAAGCAGGTTTGGGTGTTAGTTTCCACTGTTAATTGCCTCTGAAACAATGTGAACTCTGCCCGTTTTCACTTTTAAGATCAAATCAAACCTCATCACCAAAAACTAGCCTTTTTTTTTTCCTCCAAAAGCATTTATCCATTCTGATCTACACAAGCAGTTCATAATTAAACTGATTCTCTGTGTCAAGCCTCCACATTCAGGCACACAAAGTGAATCTGCCATTAAAACTGATTTAGGAAATCAAGAGAAGGGGCTTTTTTTTGTAGTGGTGATTTGTTTGCGCTGAAGCCAGCACTGTAGCTATCCTCATGCAAACCTGTAACTTAGACGTGCAGTGCTTTGCTTTCATTTACATGAAATTATGATTCATACTAGACAGCTACTTCATAACTATGTCAGCTCCTGAGAGAAAGAGAGGCGCCGTCCACTGTTAAAAACAAGAGATCTCCTTGTTTTCAAGAACCTTTTCTGGATCAGCACCATCATTCGTTGGAGGGACAGGCCATCTTCAGGGTCCAAGTTCAGTACAGAGATCAGCACAGCGAACCATCAGCACCAGTATCAGCAGCAATACTCGACTTCAAAGTGCAAGGAGATGGTCTCATTAAAACCCTTTTATTTGGGGACTATCAGAGGAAGATCTTTTTCACCAGCTCTCCAGTCAATCGAGTTAAGTTCAGAGAACTAAAGCAATATTAGTAAAAGAACGCAAAACAGCAATAGAGGGTGGTGAGGTTTTTTTAATCAAACTTGCATCACTTTCAGTTTTGGTGACAAGAGGTAAACCACCCTGATAGTCATAGTGCATCTGTAGGTTGTACCACGTGTCTCCCCCATCCCAGCCCTCCTGCGACAGCTCCTCACACTGAAACCAAGCACCCATTATGGCAATTCTGCTGGCGTTCTGTTATCCAAGTGCCACAAGGATGCTGGGTGCTTGAAAGGCACAACAGAAAATATGCTGTCAGCAGAGACCAGCCTTCCTAACATAAGACACATGGCAAAAATCTTCAAGTGGCTGACAACCACAGGACAGATGTAACATACCTGGTAGAGCAGAGAAGGGGAGCTCCGGGAGTTCACAGGCAGGAGATGGTAATTGCTCCCCAAGGATACCACTGCTCCTTTTAAGAGGATGAGTCCCAGGGGATGTTGGCTTCAGCAGCCAATACTGGTCTGCCTCACTCCAGAGCCAGGGTTCAGATTGCCCAGCAGCCCCTGTGCCAGCACAGCCCCCACCACGCTCATGATGCAAGTTTGGCACTGGAGCTGTGCTACACCACAAACTTCTGCTCTATAATCTTTCCACAGCCAACTCCAACGTGAATTTCTCAGCAGTTCTGGCAGCTTCATTGTTAAGTATTCAGATCATTATTTTATCCCTCAGAAAGCTCCTATAGTTACAAAGGGTTAAGCCTAGACCACATATGCAGCAACCGCATCCTAGGAAACTGCTAGTAACAGAAAAGTAGGAGCTCTTCTTACTCCTTCAGTGCTGTTCGATAGTTAATGCCCCATGGAACAGGCCTGTTTTGCAGAATAAATGTAGTATTAAGCAAAGATACCTTAGCTTTCAGGTCTTAACTGAGGTATCTGAAGTAGTTTAGATGTTAACAGTATGGAACTTGGCCCAGTATGTCATAAGGGAGCACTCACACAAAAATAAAAGCAAGTTTAACAATAAATAGTGTAGTCCTCGCAGTCAAACATACTTATGACTTAAGTAAAACCCTTTCCTAACATTTAAGCTGAACCATACCAGTGTGTCTACATACTCAACTGCAGAGTCACAACATAAGCAGGTACAAACTCGTCTGAACAGGCAGCAGTCTGCACAGAAATGGCCTTGTTTTTCTTTCTGTGATACTTACATACTCTAACATTAATTCTACCACCTGAGTGATAACTCCTCTGGTCTTGAGTATAAAGGTTAAGGAGAGAAAATGTGTTATAAATGGCATCTTTCCTGCCTTAACACAGCATTACAAAAATCACATTTTCATACACCCAAACTTTCTGATTATCAGATCCTAGCATTACTGTATTGCCCTGAGAGTCTCCACGTTCTGTTGGAGGTGTATAGGAACAAGGCAGTCCAGGTGTCCTTTGAATGTGGGATCATAAGTTATATAAGCAAGCACCAGACTGGGATTAGTTCTTAGATGCACAGAAGATGAACTGCACAAAAAAATGAAGAAAATTGAGAGAGGATAACAAAAGCAAAGTGGTTTTTCTTGTTGTTTGCTTTTCTTTAAAAATCACCAGAACTAGTGCTTTGAAAACCTTGCTACCTCTATTCCAGAAGGGGGCAGCATTCATTTGTTTCTCCCTAAGTACTGCTGTAAAACAAGACAGGTGTACCACAGTTAGTGCACTTTGACCTTCTGAATGGAAGACCTCCCCAGAGAGTCCCTCTCATTAACAGCTCTAGGAAATATGAGCACTGGTATCATTTAGTGCCAGGTTAAACCACAACAAATACCCTTGAGGAAGATGCAACAGCAGCTTCTCATGATGATGACAGAATACACCAGTCCAGTCAAAAAGCAGGACAATCTTTTTACCCAAACATACAATTTACCTGGGATTTTAGTAGTGCCACGGTGTCCACATATTAGCACAGCTTACCTTAGTGACAGCAATGTGAAGTTCTTCACTGCATTTGATATGAGAGTTTGTCATCACACAGACTAGGTTGTTTTCATTACTGAAGTCTGGTATAAACACAGATTTTTTTCGCACTAATGTAACAATTTAGTTAAGGGAGCCCTATTTTCTACTGGAATTGGTTCAATCTGTGTAACTTTGTGTTGTAAAGTTTAAGAGCAAGCCTCTCAAAAATAAAAAAACCTCTTGTCTCAAGATCTGTATTCCTGTCTCCAAGGAAAACTGAACTACAGTAGTAAGAGCATTTTAAGTACTGTGGTTATATCAACACTTGCAATTATACTGAGATAGAGGTGTGACACGAATTTGCATGCAAAATAAGCCCTTGTACTTTCATTTTGGTCTTTTCAAATTATCAGCTACATTTAAACAATGCTAGTTTCTGATTAAAAAGCAAGTTTCTTCACAAGAAACTCAAAATGCAATTTTATAGAAATTTGTATTTTAAGACTTCATTGCAGAAAAAGGCACGGGGCATTTTATCAACCAACAGTATAAAAATATGTAAGGAAAAATTATAACCCTTTAAATTTTCCATTTGGGTAAACAAAATTAAAATGCACCTAGTAACTGCCATAGTAGAATGGAGCAACATAAGGTACACAGTGCTCCCTGTGTTTAAAAATTAGACTGAGAAGATTTATGAACCTACCAGTTACTTTTATATATAAAGTAAGGGTTTAATAACTATGTTTATTTCTAAATATGAAAGTTGGCTGAAGTGTGGTTAAGAAAGCTGAGCACTGAACTCCTGAATTCACTAATTTTCAAGTGGGAAAATATTCGATACTAAGTCATGTGCTTCATAAATGTGCAATGTAAGATTTCATTTGAAGCTCCATCACTGCATCACAAAACTACTTAGTTTGAGTAAAAGAACATTAGCAAGACCACCTGTTTAGGCTACAAAGCAGTATTTACTTACCTTTGTGTGTTACAAGGATGCTATTCAAAACCTGCAAAAATATGCAATATTTCTGCCCAATACCCACTCAAGATGTGTTCTTGTGTGTGTGGATAATGTGTGAAGTATGAACATAATAGAAAGGTAAAAAAAAAAAAAAAAGTACTTCCTCCCCCCAAACTTAAAAGTAAAGAATGGCACTTAAATCATTTCATGTAAAGAAGAAAAGCAGTAGGAAGAGCTTGAATATACTTGACAGTTAAAAGCTGTTTGCAGAAGTGTAAAAGTGCTGTTGGATACCACGCCGAAGACTTCATTTTCGTCACTAACAATGAAAATGTAAGGCCTGAGAGACAGGTGAGAAATCTAAATCACAAAAATACAATTCCAAGTAGTACAGTCAGTTGCTGATTCAAGCTGCAGACTATGTGACCTTTTTGTTAAAGCTTTAAAAATGTTGCAATACTTACCTTTTCTACATTACAGACAGGTATTGTCTTTATGGGAAAAATTTTAAGCTTAATCATGAAGTTTGCATTCACAAATCAGCTGTTAATCATACAACTGTCCCACGATACAAATGAAACTTCTGCTAGTGTCTCCATTTATCTCTGCGTGTGAATCTTTGAAGGTGGAGAAAAGCTTTGTGCCACGTTAAACAACCAACCCTAACCCTAACCTCCCTAGTCTCGCAGAGCCAAGAATGGATGGGTATTCAAAGAAAATGTGGTTATTCATGAATATCCCTATGCGATACATACATTTGAACAACAGTGAAGATGATATGGCAGCAGTCTTTTCAGGCTTTACAGCATTGTAATTATGATCGCTTGCCCATGATGGCGTGGTGTTTTCTGCTGCTGGCTCTCTAGCAATAGGTTGAGTGTTTGCCTCAGTCTTGGCAGCTGACAAAACAGTCTTCTTCACATTCGTTTCTTTTTTCTCAGGAAATTGTCTCTTCTGGTTTGAAAGAGGCTTAGAGCCTGCCTGTAATGGTTGAAAGAAGCTTAATTACTAATACTCATCAAACATATTGTATTTCACAAACGAGCAGTGATACAGTTACATATAGGTAAGCAAATTTATTGCATAGTAAGCTCCTGTAAATACAGCTGACACTATGCAATCTCAAATCCAAGTCTCTGAAGTACAAGAATATACACTGTAACTTCAGGAGCAGGGAGCGATTAATAAAAAAACCTCGTAGCAGTGTTTTCTTTCCTTTGTTTTAAAAGCTACTACCCACTTTATGGGTGCTTCAAAAGGAAAGAAAGGCTTTAATTTCACTGTTTTGCTTCCCAAACCACACATACAATACAGTAAGACAATAATTCATAGTTTTTATAATTTAATTACTATTTTATATAGTAATCAAAAAATATTACCCAATCCAGCAATTTGGAATTAAACAAGGAAAAACTTGCAATTAACTTTAGAATAAAATGGTATACTACTGTTTGTATTAAATTATACAAAGAGTGTTCCTGTCTGGAGAGTCCTTTCCAGAAACTCTACCTACCTATCAAAATAAACTTCAGGGGAGCAATTCATCAGAACAAAAGGAACAGAAGACAGGATAGAAAAAAAAAAAGGATGTTTCTCTTTAATGAACAACTCAGCAATTTTGTTTGCCTCAAAAAGGAGAGCACAGAAACAAGCCACTGTCTTTCGACACAGCTGTTTCAGATCACAAATATTAACTTACCTGGAGATGAGATTTCGTCACACCAGGTTTTTCAGATTTTGGTTTGGTCTTCTCCTTAGGTTTTGGTTTTGTATCTTTGCCTGTACTCAGATACTTCATGGTGGCTGCAGCATGTTTGAGAATGCAGTCACTGCTGCAATACACAGAATCAGGCTGAGCCACATTGAAACATCCAGGACCAATGCACTTGGACACACCAGGAGCATCAACTACCTGAAGATTGAAGTAGAACAAGTTCAAAAATGAATCAGAAACTTTTACAACATGAAGAACTTACAAAAGTTCAGACTACAGCTACGACAGTGACCTGAGCAATTATCTACGTAAGAATAATTTTCATCCTTAAGATGCCACGAACAACCCATACAAATTAAAAGCATTTCATTCTTGCAACAGTATTTTTAGGATGTGTTGTACTGGTCATCCTGCTAGCAGTGAACCAATGCACCCTGATTTTCAGATCCCATGAACACAGAAATGCTTTTGCTCTGATCCTCCGCATAACGTGAGGAACTTCCTTAACAGCACAGAGCTGGTTTCACAAGATGAAGATTTCTAAACCACATTTTGCTTCTATACCACTCCCAGCAGCTGTTTTCAGCACCAGCCACATGCAAAAAAAGGCACTCAGCTCCTGCAGCATACAGGTAATTCTTGCTCAAGAGGCTTACCAATTTTAATACTACAAGTCTTCATCTGGCATAAGCACAGCCATTCTCCTACACAATTCTGTCATACTCTATTATACTCTATTAGACTCTAATATAATACTATTTACATATTTAAAAGTTCACATACAAAACCTGCATTTCCTTAACACTACTCTCAATGTCACTTAAATCTGAACATTGGAGAAGAAAACACAGCACATCCCTCAAAAACGACATCCGTAAGGTCAGTATCACTTGTTCCATCTTCTAGATTACTCATAAAAATGTTATACAACTGACCTAATATTTGAAATAGCTGGGATGGAGACAGCCTCTCACTCCTCTTCCATAAACTGTGATTTCTAACTACCAAAGTAACAGTTTCAAAGCAATATTTCCACTGGAATAAATAATCTTTAAATAGTTTAACATCTTTTTACCCCAAAGTCAAGGATTAGTTAGTTGCTGTAGTCTGATAGAAGCTGAGTTTAAGGACTTTTCCCATAAAAATTGACATTGTGATTCATATTCTTTTCCATCACATATACACTTAACTAAGAAGTTCAACAAAGAAGGATGAAATTTCCTTAGGAAGCACCTCAAAATTCAGTTAACAGCCATCATTAACTATCAAGGACTGTGACTCAGATAATGACAACACTTTCATCACTGATGTTTCTATTTGAAGAATTCCTAAGAGTTTTAATCACAAACTACAGTTCTTAAGTAATAGGTACTTATGGGCAGCAACAAGGAGGAGTCTTTTGTGAAGTGCTCAGAATACTGGTGTCAGAACACAGTAACTGTCAGTCGTAGCACAGAGTGGCTTCAGCCCATCAAGATATGAAATGATGGGCTGATTTCTTTCCCCAGAACGGGCAGGGAATTCTGCACAAGAATGGGCTGCTTGCTTCTATACAGAGAGATCCTCACTGGGGTATGAGGGACAGCATGGGGTAACACACAAACTGAACAGCCAAGTCTTATTTCAAGATGTGGACTCATCTGCCAAACATGCTAGCACATTAATACCAAACATAAGTAGGAGCAGTACTTAAAATTAACACTAATGCTGTCAGAAATGCAGACCCCAGCAGTCAAGCTTTCTGAACTTTCTGTGCAAGTATGTACAAGTTTACATTCAACACAGCTGAAACTGTTTGCAAACATTTGAGTAAACATGTAACTTATTTACCTTAAGAGAGTACTTAGCATACACTAAGCTCACATTGCTTTCATTTACACTTAGGATCACTACACTGATATTAATAGTTCGATATTTAAATTGCTGAGTATTTTTTCAAAAGTATTTTTTTCAAAAACATTCTGCATAAAAATTTTCTACAACAGGAAGATTATAATCCAAGTCATTGACACCAAAATTCAGAGACTGTCAAAGGAAAATTCACAAATCTGAACAGCTGTAGCCTTCTGATAAAAATACACTAAACATGGTCTTCAAGGCATAGTAAGAAAAGGAAAACATTGGCATTACTATGGTAACCCCAGTAATACAGAGATTGAACTGCAGCATAACGTTTTAAACCTACGTGGCTTGACCTGAAGCAGCTTCTTTGGCTCTATTTTGATTTAAGCAAGGAACTTGCTAGTACTAAATTACAGGAATTCATACCAGAATTCTTAATAATTTCCAACGCACGTTTTTAATGTTACCCTTTCAAAAGGCAACATAAAACAATTTTCTATATACTAGTAACTTAAAGAAGCATCATGACAATAAATACCAGAACTTCAACTAGAAGTAGAGGTAATTGGAAGAGCTGGAACCAACTCCCAACACAGACACTTGCCAACATTAAGTAAAAACTTCCATTATCACTGAAAATGTAAAAAATGATTTGAGATTTTAAAGCTCAAATGAGATGGTCCAGAACTTCGACTTTTATTTGATTTCCAAAACAGAATTTTGAAAAGTTAAATATCACAGAGCACACTGTGTGGCATTTCCTTACACCTGAATAAATTCCAATCACCTCTTCCAAAAACATTTTCTTTGTTTTAGTTAGCTCCTTTACGGATATAATTATGGATAAACTGTTGCTGAACAGTAACGTTTAGAGAGCTGGTCAGATCTATATTTAACTTTAATAAGCAAAATTAGATTTACTGCCATACAAGTAAGGTATTCCCTCAGTGTACTCCACAAAGCACAAACAATACTGAAAACCTGAAATACTTACAGGTTGAAATATCTTGAGCTTTTTCTTCCCACTTGGATTTGCAGCTTTTTCAATCCTACCCTTGATGCCTTGGTCCTCAACAGACTTGTGTTCAACTGTTCCTATGCTCGTGAATTCTGTACCATCCACATTTACTTGCCCTGCTTTAGCTTCCTGCTGGTCTGTTTCTGAAATAGACTCATCCTGTCCCTGTAGAATGGTGCAGTTTGGACAGATATAGTCCTCACCATTCCTTTCCAACAGCCGCCCTCGAGCCTCAGAAATACCCACACAGTCACCATGAAACCATTCCTCACATCTATCACAACAAATCATGAACCTGAAAAAAAAAAAAAAAGCAACAGTAAAACATTAGAAGACTACAGTCAAAACTTGATTTTTTTTTTAAACAGTAGATACTAATTTTCCTGCTAAGATATCAGCATACTATTTTGCCTAGCTGTTCATTTGTTTTCATTAATATTTCCCCTTGAATATTTGTTACAAACTCTCCCCAAAACCTCAAATAAACCCAGTAACTTATTTACACATATTCAAAAAGGAAGCCATAGCAATCGATTTATTTTTTCCAATCACAAAAAACTTCCAGCTTCTAGCACTGCATTTTTAACTGAAAGTTTTGCCTACCTGTTGTTATGAGGCTGACGACAAATACAATACAGTGCATTGGGGTCATAAATCTCAGACTCTGGTTTGCTTTTGGGCAGTTCTTCAGGTTGCTCATCTGTAATTCCTTTTGCTCCAGCAGGAGGTTTGACCTCCTTTTGAACCTGAAGATCTTCAGTGTTTTCCTCAGACACAACAACCTGACTTGCAATCTCAGTGTTATCTACAATGTCAGGCTCCTGTTTCACAGGTAATTCAGTCTTAACTGGCTGATCAGGCTGGACGTTATCTGTTTCTGCAGGATCTTGCTCTGAAATTCTTTTTCTCAAGCGATTCTGTATTTCTTTCAGTGTCAGTTGTGTAGGTTTCTGTTCAACACGTTTGTTTCTCAGTCGGTTCTGCAGCTCCTTCAGTGTTAACCCATCACTGTCACTGTCAGAAGTATCTTCCTCCTCCTCTTCATCCTCCTCCTCCTCTTCCTCTTTTGTACGCCTGCTTTTAGAGCCTTTCTGATCCTTACTGCTCCTAGTTCTGCGAGTTCCAGGCTTTGTATCTGAAGCACTTTCAACACTATCTTCTGATGCAGTTTCAGCATCTGTAGCTGGACAGGATGCAGGTTCACTTGAATCTTCCAAAGCAATAGGAGCATTTCTCCTCCCCCTGCGCCTCACTGTTGTAAGAAATTCTTCCACTCTTTCTGTTCTCTTTGGTTGTCGCCCACTACGCCTGAGATTTAAGCTTTGTTGCTGTTGTTGTGGCTGTTGTTCACTAGAGTCCATATCAATGTCTCCAGCACCTTCTCTCTTGGCAATTGTAGTCCTTCGAAACCCCCAGGTTTTCCTGAATTCTTTGCTTGTAGGCTTGATAGATTTTTGTTCCTCCTCATTGCTTTGCTCATCTTTTTCATCCAAAGCTGATGCTAAAAACCAAGAGAAAAGTTACTGAATCAGTAGTGGCGAATAATGTTTTTCCCAAACTTTTTCCCCAGCAGCACAGCATTATTTTCTTTGTAGTAACAGATGAACGTATCTCCACCTCATTTTATGGCCCTGAAAACAGATGAATATTTCCCTGTGAACTGCTACAGCAGCAGCAGTTAATTACATAACTACACATTGTACCAAAGTAACCCAAACACTACGGTCTCCTGCGTTATTTGAAAACACACATATATGATGGACAAATCACCTTACTTTCTGCCCAATTTAAGAAGAAATCTTACCAGGGGAGCTGTTTTCCATGTTGTCAGTATTAGATTCAGATTCCATAGACACTGGCTGTAAGCTTACAGCTTGTTCCATAGTATAGACACCACTCTCCCCACCTCGAAACACTAAAGACAAACATAAGATTTAAAACTTAGATCCAAAAATATATACAGCCTTCACTACTTCTTTAAAAAGGTTTATTTGCTAGATGAAATTATAAGAAACAGTACAAAAATCAAGATCTTCAGAAGTATTTTTCAGAGAAAAAAATCATTTGATACTTGAGAAAGGCTGCTCACTGATTTCATTACTTGCAAGGAGGTTTTTGGTCTACATGATCTACCAGAATGAGGGAGAGGAGGGGAGGGAAAAAAACCTCCATGTTCTCCCCAGTGTGCCAGAAGAGACTTTCCCACAGGAGAAGCAGCAGCAAGTGACAGGAATAAACAAAGCAAGTCTGAGACTACATTTTGAGCATTCAGGAATAATCTAGTTCAAATAAGTTTTTAAAATTAGTATTATACCACAGTGTCACGTTTTGTATGCCAGGCAAACTGCACTCCTAGAATTCAGCAACTATATTTTGCAGTCACTGCACTTACATCGCTCACATAAGATTATGATGTGCAGTACTAAGTATACAAAATGAAATGGATGAACAGAAACAGTACTTTCAAAGCACCAAGAAGAAAAGCTAGCCATCTCCCAACCATGCTTCTGGAGCAGGTATCTGTATTTTCCTGGCACAAGAGTTGTCCAGTTAATGCCAAAGGGCACTTTAAAGAATTCTCACCTAACAGCATTACTGAAAGCATCAAAGCTGTATATATTACAGTCTTAAGTTTTCAGAGGCATCCTTTATTAAACTTTTCAATGTTTCCAGCACTGCAGTGTACCTTGGTAATAAATGCCTCCTTATTTCACACACAGCACAACAGTAATGCAATTGATGCAGTATCACATATGATCTCTCTACGGTGCAATTCTTGTTTTCTATTATTATATTCAATATGGTGTTAAAACAGAAGGTTAACTATCACTACTAGGCAAGCAATAAAGAGAGAATTTTAAAGCCCATATTTATGCTTAAAATGTAATATTTAAACTGCAACTCAAGTCATTCAGTGAAATACTATAAGCAGAAAATTACAGATCTCCAACTTAACATTCCTGTTAGAATACAAAGAATTTAAACCTCTAGTGTGAAATACGAAATCCCTTTAAATCCTTAAATCCCAATCCCTTATCAAAAAAATCATTAACTACAGCTTCTTGCTCTGTCTTTAAAGGCAACACTAAAATCAGACCCCCATCAGAAAAAGGCTGCCATGGGAGCAAGAGCAGAACAAGATGAAACAGTTAAAATTCACACCTTTGTTTACTTCAAAAGGTGAAGACATGCTAAAAATTACAGGCAGAGGTAATCTAAATTGAGATTTAAATTCAAAATAAAATGAAAAGAAATAAGTCTCTTCAAAATGTGCTTTACCTGACACAGCATTAGAGGTTTGAACAGTTTCTCCCTGTTGAGCTGAATTAAAAGGAGAGCCAGAAGAGGGCAGCAAAGGATCAGAGTCATTCAGCATTATCCTTCCAGCACATGCTGAATTGCCTGACTCAGAAGCACCAGACTGTTTCTTTGAGTTGTCAGCAGAAGCAGATACCAAAAATTCTTTTTCTGACGACTGCTGGAAAAGAAAAAAAGAAATGAAATGAGACACCAATGTATTTACAAAGTGATCTTACCACTGCATGCTTCAGCTTGGAATTGTTTTATCTCCATTATAAACCAACTTTTCTTACGTTGCCTTTTTATCAGTTCTCCATTTTCAGAAAGATGTTGAAACAGGAATGAAAAATTTAAGTAAAGCAACACTACCTCCACTTACCAACAGATGAGACTCATTAACTCATGGAGAGTCCATCAAGATTCCAAACAGTAAAAAGCTGTATTTGACAAATTCATCTCCAGTATTTAAAAGTATTCTGAGAGTTAAATTTACTAACTATATATCACGCAATGAAAACACAGAAACACGATTAAACTGTGTCAGCACACCAAGGTTTACCAGTAGGGAAATAAACCAGTTTGTGAAATTCATCACAGAAGAATTAAGGAGCATTCCCTATCACCATCCCTTTTGCTGAAGACATTTGCAATGCACAGCATTTCAGAAGCTTCAAAGAACAGAAGGTGACATTAATAATCACATTTGTTACCCCCACAAAAAATGAGCCCAGAAAATGTTTCAGAATCAGAGCACCTAAAGTACTGAAACAAGTCCAATCTTCAGTCCAAGGGCTCACATTAAAAAAGTGAAGCACAAACACTGACTGTTTGCTTCTGAGTTAAATAGGCTGGAAAACCTCAAGGAAAAATCATTATTTCCACCACTCCAGAGCAACACCGGAAAAGAATTTGGGAAGAAAAGTAGGACCTGATGAATGGGATAAAAAAGTCACTTTTCAACTGGCCTGTAAAGAACAGTGAGAAGGGCCAGATTCTGCATGTTAGGATTCCGCAATTAAACAGAGGGGAATAGCCATAGCAGGTGTAGGAAATCCCTAATACACTAATAACTGCTTCAAAGCAGTACAAACAGATTCTGATAACCACCTGCTGTTTAGAAACACTTCTTACTTCCTAAACAAGAATTATCTCCAGGTGAACAGCAACAACAGGGAAAAAAGAACCCCACCCAAAACGTGATTCTCAGTGGACAGCTATTATTTCATGAACAGTAAATGTCATAATGTGCACAACTGTGGGAAAGTGGAATTCTGGGGACGGGAAGGGAATGGAGCTATATTATATAGCTAGATCTACATCAGCATCTCCTGCTTCTACACTTTCTCTACAGAGGGCTCCATATACTATGTACATTGTGCCAACTATTCCCACTCAAAGAAAAAAAAGAGAGGAGAATAACCTAGTTTGAAGACCCTACTGTAACTCATGACATTGAATACCTGCTCTAATTCGTATTTTGCTCCAGAGTCTGAACCAGTGATTACATCCGAGTCTGTCAGTGATGTCTGAAGACAGTCTGAGTTATTCTTAGTGCTTTCTTCCACGCTGCTGCTCTGCAATAACCTTTCAATCTCCCTGTTCAGAATCTCCAACTCATCACACATCACGTAATTTTTAAGTGATAATCCTAAAGGAAGAGGGAAAGTCAGCTTCTTGTTCAACTCTAACGTTAAGCTATGAAAATAAACTATTTCTTAAACACTCAAAAGGAACATATTATTTGAATAATTTATCTAATATATACTAAAGAATTGTCGACCAGAATACTGCCCTCATTCTGCAGTCACACCTTGGTGTATGAAGGGCTGTTTGAGCAACATGCTCTTCACAATTTTCGTGCTGAGCCACACAGCTGATATCACTACCTTGCTCTCCAAGTGCAATCAGCATCTTCTCAGGAGATATTCTGGCTCCCTGAACACAATCTGATTTTCAGTCTGAAGTCACACCCCACTGAGAGGCATGGCTACAGAGTATACACACAGTTCATAGTTTAACATAACTTTTTTTTTTTTTTAAACAATTTTAAAACAAGAAATTCTATGCAATAACAACATGGGTGAGGTTTTTTGTTTTAAATAAAGACATGATACCATTATTACCTCTATTACCTATTATTCTATTACAAATAATCTTAACAAAATTAAAATTATTTTAAAATAATTCCAAGGTGGAAGGCTTAAGAATTTAATGTTTAAACTATCCCCTACATTTGGTATGAAAATGCTTGGTTTTCTAATAAAATATCCTTAAAGTAAGCCTTTAAGGCTACCTACAAATAAAGTTGGACAGGTTATGAATTTCTTTAAAAGGCAATAACTCTTTCCCTTCCACATATGAAGCAAGTCTTAACAATAGAACTTCAAGCTTTGTAGACTAAAATGGTAACAAAACAAAACAGTTCCTCATTAAACAATGGATTCAAAAGCTTATTCAATTCACAGTTACAGACCATGAAAAACAAAGAGCAATGCTAACATTACTTGGGCTGCTCGATTATGCTGCCTTCCCCCCAGCCACCTCCCCTTGGTGAAAGGATGAAGAATTAGTATCAAAACTGCAATGACATACAAGAGAACAAGAGCCCTTTTAAGCAGCAACAACAGCTCAGCTGCCACTCAGCAAGAGCTCATCACACCTTACCCAGCTGTACTGCCCCAGCTGCCCCTCAGCCAAGATCACCTTCTCAAACTCTGATCAATGTATTAAGACTGCAAACCACAGTGTGAGCATTCCAGTGAAACAACAGTCACTTGTCTAGAAGTAGAGCAAAAAGCTACATAGAGTATCTTGAAAAATAATATTTGGTCAAGAAAGCATTTACACAGGTTTTTTCATACTCCATCACTTTTCAGGAGAATGCTCTTATATCCCCTGAAAAAGTCAGGCTCTTGAATTCATCCTGGACCTCAGTTTCAGAGGCAACCAAAGTATCCTAAGCATTAAAACAAGAAATAACCTTGTTTAAGAATACACATACACAACTGTCACTAAACAAAACACGCAAAGCCCTAAGCTGAAGTTTTCAGCTGAAGGAAAAAAAACAGTAAAGCCACTGAAGTCCTTATGGCATTATAGCTTTATCTGATAGAAGTTTACAGTTCCAGTGTGATCAACTACTCTCAAAAAGTGAGAACAGTGGAAGCCAGCACTCCCATTCAGCATCCTTCTCGATGCAGTACTGTATCATTCAGTCTATGAGTATCAGCAACTGATTTAACAAGAGGCAGAAAAGAAATTCCCAAATTCCAAATCCTGCTACTGTGACAGCAGTTGTTCACAAACACACTGTGTACATTAAAACAAAAATGGAAAATCTATGATTTCCTCTTTCTTTTCTGTAAGTCCACTCTCATTCTCACCTTCAGCCAAAACCTCAGAAGCTGCCATTGCTGGAACCAAACAGATGACAAACGTCACACACAAAAAAGTCAGCTACAAGAAGTTACCTATGGCTGAGAGATGGCAACTGCAGGACAGGCAACCTGAAGATACCTGTAGTTGCAGAAGGGTAATTAAATTAAGCTGTTCTAGATGTCTCAATATAACATCTTAAGCCTGAAGATGACAGAACTTCTCAAAGAACAGCTACCTTTCCCCATCTTTTTTGTGTTTCTGTTTTTTAGACAAAGATCCATTTAAAAATTACTTTAATTATCTCCAATTTACTGGCCCTAAAGAGGTAGTAAGCATTCAATGTGTCCACAGACTGCAGAAAGACCTTGTCTTTTTCAGAACTTAAATCTTAATTGCACAATCAATTTCTTGTCTCAATTAACTGGGAAGATCTCACTTGACAAAAAGAGATTGAAAGACAACTTAGTAATATTACTTTTAACATGAATTAAGAGCAACCAAGAGTTTCTCCTTCATCTGAGAACTTGGGTACAAACAAAAAGCAAAGGCAAAATTCAGGGTAAATTCTCCAATTCCAGCTTATGAGCTACCTAATTCCTGAGGAATTCATTAAGAATAATATTCTTTATCTTCTCATTAGTGCTAGGCCCTGTTAATGGGTTCACTTAGCAAAGTATCCTACATGTTCTTAGATGAGAGCTACTCTTCTACACTCCAACAATATGCTGTAATCTGTACAAGTTCCCAAACCTACTAAATTACAGGCTATACAAACATCCTGCTAAGTGTTTTAGTCCAAACAATGACATCCAGCTGACATCCAGCTTAGTTCTCATCTCTTTATGTGCCTTTAAATCTCCATACAAAAATGTATTTGGTTTTGAAACGCCTCACATACAACACACCCCACATAAACACAGAAAGGGAGTTAACTGCATACTCAGACACTTTACAGGCTTTAGCACCCCAGGACTTGATTCATTTAGCCCTTACTTAACAGTGGGGACTTACTTCTGCTCTAACAGGAATTCACAGGCTTTGGCTGCTTTGCTAAGTCCACTAAGACACCAGTTAATGCTTCAGACACATCATTAATACTCAGTGCTGTGACCCAAAGGCAAGTCAGAGATCTCCAATAATCACAAGATCAACGTAAGATTCAGCAACTCTCCAAAAGCTAGAGCTAATAGGAATACAGAAAGGTATTTCATCCACAAAGAAATTTAAAGCATAATAAAAGTCTTACTTTTATTAAAAGCTATTAAAAGCAAGTACCATTAATCAGTCACCAATTTCAACTCTGTATCCAGACAAGAAAACAGTCTTGGCCCCAACTTAAGATACTAGCTTCAACTAGAAGACTTCCAAAAACTCTGAAGTGAATAGGTTAATTATCACATCATATCATGTGATTGTCTGAGAAGTCAAATAAGGACATCATTTCTGACGCAAATGAAAAAACTGCTGGCATAGTTCACTTAATGTCACTCCCAGTTGGATGTTTGATTCCACTGAAAATCTCTTTTTGTCCCCAACTTGTCGAAGATGACATCGAGGAAAACTTGCACTCTTTCTCCTTCACATTAACAAAATTAATCCTTTGCATCTGAAGCATCACAAAAGCAGCTTGGAGGAATTCAGTAGGGCAAAACTTATTATATACATAGATCAGAAGTTTTATCCAGAAAGCAGAGAAAAGGTAAACTTCACTGACCCCTTAGAACAGCAGGAAATAGGTTCATCACTAGCAATGGAAGAAGCTGCACGCACACAGGGCTGCAGTGCAGTTCTCTCCACCTG